GCGGCCACCGCGACGGCCGCGCTGCTCTGGGCCGCCGTGACGCGCGCGGGGGCCGCGGGCGCCGGGGCGGCGAAGGGCGCGCTGCGCCTGCTCTGGGGCTCGCTCTTCGGCGGCGGTCTCGTGGAGGGCGCCAAGAAGGTGACGGTGACCGAGCTCCTGGCGGGCATGCCCGACCCCACCAGCGACGAGGTGCACGGCGAGCAGCCGGCGGGGCCGGGCGGCGACGCGGACGGCGAGGGCGCGGGCGAGGGCGCGGGCGACGCCGCGGAGGGCGCTGGCGACGAGGAGGCGGCGGTGCACGACGCCGGGCCCGGCGGCCCCGACGGAGCTGTGTCCGTGTCCGACGGGGGCCCATTCCGGCCCGAAGGGGCCGGCGGTCTTGGGGACATGGGGGACACGACGCCGGCGGAGCCGCCCACGCCTGAGGGCTCCCCCATCATCAAGAGGAAGCTGGGGGTGAGAGGGCAGGCGGGCCTCGGGGCTCTGGAGAGATGGGGCTGGGCGGAGACACCACGCAGAAGAGGTGCGAGGAAGAGGGGCCCTCAGAGAGGGACAGAGATGGAGAGAGGGAGAAAGGCTCGCAGTGCCTGGGAGTGACAGCGAAAGAGACACCTGGGGGACCAGGGAGAGCAAGAGACCCAGGGACCAGATCAGAGGGGAGAGAGGCCAAAGACCCTCGGGGACACACCTGGTTGTGGGCAATGAGGCAGCCCACGTGGGAAAGGCCCCCGCGCTGGGAGTGCCCTGGTGGGGGTGGAGGTCAAGGCGAAGCTGGGGAGCCTGGGGGAGAAGAGCTCCGCTGGGAGTCAGCCTGACACTGCGCAGTGCTTTGGGCCTCAATTTCCCCTCCGTAAAGTGGGAATCACCATCTTTCTGCCTTCTGGTGGGGAAGCATGGAACTAGATTACCCAGGGCGAGGCAGGGCGGTCAGCCCCGAGAAGCACCTGGCGTGGGGGCTCAGGCTTGCCCTGCCCCCAGGTGGATGGCGAGGAGGAGGAGCTGCCACCAGAGCCCGAGCCGGAGCCGGAGCCAGAGCCTGAGCCCGAGAAAGCCGAGTGAGTGGCCTTGGGGCCCAAGGGGCCCGGCTCCCTGGGCTGGGAGTCTCTAGAGGTCAGGGCCCGAGGCTGTCCTGGCCACCGTGTGTCCTCAGCATCACTCAGCCCAGATTCAGGCACAGAGGAGAGGCTCGTGAAATCAGTGCTCCCCTCTTACCGCCAGGCCTTGGTGTGCGCCTTCTCCCTGCCCGGAGCACCTTCCCAGGGCTTCTGAGTCTTTCCCGCCCTTTCCGTTCTGCTCACATGGCTCCTCTCTGGGAAGCCGACTTTGACACCGGCCCTCTCCTAAGTTGAGGAGGTGTCTCCTCCAGGTTCCCACAACCCCCTGAGCTTCCCTTATCCCCTGACCACTCTGGGCTGTCACTGCCTGGTGACACTGTCGCTGTCACTATCTGTCTCCACCACTGGACTGGAGCCTCATGAGGGCAAGGCCTGAGGTTGTCTCATCACCCTGTGTCCCTAGCTCCATTCAGACCTGGGCCGGTGAATGGCTTTGAATGAATCAATCAATCAATCCATCCATTGCCCAGGTTCCTCCTGACCTCTCTCTGTGTCCTGCCCTACAGTGCCGAGAATGGGGAAAAGGAAGAAGTCCCTGAGCCCCCACCGGAGCCCCCCAAGAAGAAGGCACCTCCTCCAGCCCCTCCGAAGAAGGAGGAAGCTGGGGGCGAGTTCTGGGGAGAACTGGAGGTGCAGAGGGTGAAGTTCCTGGTGAGGCTCCCAGCCAGACCCCCTCCCCCACCCACCGCTCCTCCCCACTGTGTTCCCGAGCTCATCTCCATGGGAATCCCAGCTGGGGAGAGGGCAGAGATGTCCTCAGACCTGGGGGTAGGGCAGCATGTTCAAGGTGGCCCTCGCTTGGCTCCTCACCCCCTCCCTGCCCACTGTCCTTGTTCCAACCTCCATACCTTTGCTCATCCAGGGCCGCCTGCCTGAGCTTCCCACCCCACCTTCTATCCACTGCTAAGTTCAACTGAGGCCGCCGCTCTGGCCCTCCTCCATAGCCTGTTTCGTGGCTCTCAGCCTTTATGTGTGAGCCCCCACACCAGCCCCAGCAGCCCCGGGGGGTCTGAGTTCCGGGGGAATCGCTCATCTCACCTGGGCCAGGAAGAGGGGCAGGCGTTCAGGAGGCAGGTCCCAGGGCTCCGTGTGTCCTGTCTCCTCTCCGGGCCCAGCCTGATAGGAGAGGCTGAGGGAAACACGCGGAGCAGAAGGTGGTTCAGTGAGGATTCGTGGGAAGAATAAGGGACAGAGGGAAAGACAGAGGTGGAGAGAAAAGAGGAAGGGGAGACGGAAGATGTCCCCTGCCTGGGGCAGAGCAGACAGGGTAGCCTCACCTGGGAAGCAGCACGGCAGAGCGGTTGGGAGTGCGGGCTCTGGAGCCCAGCTGCCGTGTTCACATTCCCGGCCTGCCACTCCTCGACTATGTTACCTTGAGCAAGACACCACCTCCCCGAGCCTCAGTTTCCTAATCTGTAAAGTAGGCATAACAGCAGTACCCGCTTCATAGGGTTATGGTGAGAATCAAACAGTTCATGTATATGTAGCTCTTAGCAAGGCCTTGGTATACAGCAAGCACTTAATAAATAGGAGATTGTGAGATCAGATATTGAGAACCCAGGTGCTTTGCTCGTGGGTAATAATGGGATGGATTCTCCAGGGCAGAGGCTGGACTGTGAAATCTTTCTTCTTCTCTTCTCTTGCTCTCAGAACTACCTGTCCCGGAACTTTTACACCCTGCGATTCCTCGCCCTCTTCTTGGCATTCGCCATCAATTTCATCTTGCTGTTTTATAAGGTGCTGATTGTGGTGGGGCTGGGCGAGTCAGGCCCTTATCCAGGCTGTGGGGTGTGAGGCTCAGCCCCCCGCAGTTTCCCAGGGCCCTGCAGTGAGGGGACAAGGAGTTGGGCTCAGGGTTCTTAGGAGGGTTCAGGGTGGACACCTGGATCTTGGGGCCCCCCAGTGCAGGGTAAGTGGCGGTGTCTGGGTCCATCTGGAATGGATGCCTGGGTGCCTGTGGGAGTTGGAGCAGGAGTGGATCTGGATTCCATGCCCAGCTCTGCTGGGGGCCAGCCCTGTGCCCCTGGGTGCAGGCCCTCATCTCTCAGCAACACCCACTGATTCAGTCAAGCATCTTTGCTTTCACGTGAACTCAAGAGAAGTTTGTGGGGAGGAGAAAATGGGCAGCCCACAGAATGGAAGGAAAGACCTAAGAACCAGGCCTCCCAAAGGGACAAAGGGACCCTTGGGGCCTTGCCAGGGGTCTAGATAGTAGGACGAGAGGCAGACTGAAGATCAGAGCGTGGCTTCTGTGACATAGAGTCCTGCCTCCGCCACTCACTGGCTGTGTGATGTTAGGCAGGACACTTAACCTCTCTGTGCCTCAACTTCCTCATCTGTAAAATGGGATAGTAACAGTGTCTGCCTTGTAGAGCTGTGAGGATGAGAAGAGGATGAATATATGTAAAGCACTTACAACAGTATCCGACATATAGAAAGTGCTGTAGAAATGGTGGCTATTACTAATTTGGGGTTTGTGTTAATATTAGTGGTTAGTCTTTTTAGGGCTCCATTATGAATATGAATCAACTGTTTTTATTCCTCTGTCACCTGGTTCAATGGGCAAATTCTCAGGACAGAATCTGATTTGCTACCTAGGGTCCTGGGCCCGCCCCTCAGTCTTGATTGACAGTCCCACCAAGACTGTATGGCCCTGTCCAATCTCAGGAATGGAGGCTGTTAATGTTGTTAGTGGGTTCTGGGTATGACAGCTCAGGAGCCAGGACACTGTGGCCCTGCCCTGATGGACCTCCGTCCTCACTTCAGGTCTCAGACTCTCCACCTGGGGAGGACGACATGGAGGGCTCAGCTGCTGGGGACCTGTCAACTGCAGGGTCTGGGGGCGGCTCTGGCTGGGGCTCAGGGGCCGGTGAGGAGGCTGAGGGTGATGAGGATGAGAACATGGTGTACTACTTCCTGGAGGAGAGCACGGGCTACATGGAGCCCGCCCTGCGGTGCTTGAGCCTGCTCCACACGCTGGTGGCCTTTCTCTGCATCATTGGCTACAACTGCCTCAAGGTGGGCTGTGACCCTGGGCTCCAGGGCAGGGGCTTGTGGAGGAGGGAGGAATGCTGGTGGAGAGGACCCAGGGCTGGGGCTCAGGGCCTCACAGTGGTCAGGCCACGGGGGTCCTGGAGTTGGGGTAAGAACCAGGGGACTGGGTACAGGATTAGGGACTTCAGCAAGGATGCTCTTCAAACCAGAAACTATCGCATGTCATAGCTGGGGAACTGGAACGGAAGAATAAGAATTCTTTGGGCTTAACATTTTTACATATGATGTTCCCTCTGTCTTCAATGCTTTGCCCTGCTTCCACCCCCTTCCACCCCCTTCCACCTGCCTATTCTACTCATTCTTAAGGCCTGAGTTCAAACTTCCCTCCCTCAGAAAGCCCCAGACGGCATCAGGCACCACTTCTGGGCTCCACAGTTCCCCTGTTTTTCTCCCACCCTGGCCTGGACCCCTCCGCCCACGCCCCCATCCTGACCCTTCCGCCCGTGTCCCCAACTCCTGCCCTCATCATTCTGGGAAAGCTCTTCTAACGTGGGGTCTCACGGGCGAGTTCCTGCCGCTCTGCGGAGGCCGTGGTCTCGCCGAGGCGCCCGACACGGCCCTTTGCCGCCCTCCACGATCTAGGTGCCCCTGGTGATCTTTAAGCGGGAGAAGGAGCTGGCCCGAAAGCTGGAGTTCGATGGCCTCTACATCACGGAGCAGCCTGAGGACGACGACGTGAAGGGGCAGTGGGACCGACTGGTGCTCAACACTCCGTAAGGCCCAGCCCCGCTGGAGGGCGGGGACAGGGACCAGGGCTCCTGTCCCTGCTGGCCCTGACTCATTGTCCCCAAGGCCTAGTCTTCCTCTGTCAAGTAGACACATTTCCCCTGCATTAAAGTACCTGCGGGGGCGGGGCTGGTGACACATGGAGAGTCCCGGGCCCCTGCGGGGAGGTTCCGCTTCAGTGAGTCTGGGGCGGAGCCCGGGAACCGGCATTCTGAATCCTGCCCCAGGTGTGATCCCCACCCAGCTGCCGGGACTGGGAAGTAAGAAACCCTCTGGTTTTTAAGCAGGACGCAGGAAGGGAATGAGGGCGTGTGGGGGCGATGCGGTGAGACTCTGGCCCCCCACCCTGCACCCCTGGCCCCCTCCATTTCCCCCCAGATCAAATCCCACTTCAAGTGTTGATACAGTGGGGCTGCAGCGTCAGAGGGCGACGGCTCTAGAATAAGAACACCAGGCCCGGTTGGAGCCCTGGGTTGGCCACACCCAAGCTGGGAATTCTCGGTCAAGTCGCTTAGCTTCTCTGTGCCTTAGTTTCCTCATCTGTAAAGTGGGGATAAATAATAGCCCTGGTCTCACAGGATCTTGTGATGATTCAATGAGTTAATATAGTTTCTGCAGCACAGTAAATCCTAGACAAGGTCTGGAGGTCATTTTATTACGGAGTCCTGCCTAGTAGACGGGGTGCGAGGAGGAAGAGGGGATCAGCCACGCCAAGCACATCCTGCACTCGTTGTCACTGTCAAAGGCACATTTAGTTTGCACACATTTAGGTACCCGTGCTTAGCGGAGGGTCGGGGAGTCGGGGAGGGAGGGAGCGCTGTTTAAAATAGTGTCTGCTCGAGACCTCGACTCGTAAAGACCATTTCCTGTGAAAAGGAGCCACCTCCTTGGAGAAATGGCAGCTTTTAGGGCTCGGGCAGGGGACGTACACGATGAGCCTGGATCATCTTGTCGGGTCAGAAAGCAAGGATGTGCTCCATGAGGAATGGTGACATGCTGACAGGAACCAGGAGCCAGCTAGACGGGGCTCCCACTGGGCAAAGCAAGGACGATATGAACATCAATAAGGACAGGAAGTGCAAGGAATTGAAACCCTTCAAATAGATCTAAGTCCCATGAATTCCCAACACATCTTTGCTCCAGCCCTTCAAAAAACCAAAAGTCAGCTGGGCACGGTAGCTCACACGTGTAATCTCAGCACTTTGAGAGGCCAAGGTGGGAGGATCGCTTGAGGCCAGGAGTTTGAGACCAGCCTGGACAACATAGCAAGACCCCATCCCCCACTACTCAAAAGGCCGAGATAGGAGGATCACTTGAGCTCAGGAATTTGAAGCTGCAGTGAGCTGTAATAAGGCCATTGCACTCCAGCCTGGGCAACAGAGGGTCTCCAAAAAAAAAAAAGAACTTGTTGACCACCTTTGCCAGGGCATAACTTATCACTCAGAAAACTGGTAAATAAAGAGCTGGAATCTTCGAATAAAATGAAATAAAACAGTGGGAGAAGGCAGGGTTCCACTGGGGTTGGCACAGGGTCGGTTAGCTTGGACTCCTCCGTGCCCTGTCACCACACAAGGGCCCCCCAACAGGAGTGCGATTCTGGCGTCTTTTTGCACACCTGGCTCTGAATGCAAGTTCCCTGCCTTACCTGGGCTCCACCAAAGACAGTGGGGTCCCCGCTGTGCAGAGTCCCCTGTGAGAAAGCGCTGGGGTTCCCAACCGCCCTGGCCTGGCTGGTGGTCCCTGACCCCTCTTTTCCTAACATCTCGCGGTCGCTCTCTCCTGGCAGGTCTTTCCCCAGCAACTACTGGGACAAGTTTGTCAAGCGCAAGGTGAGAGGACATGGCTGCTGAGGTGGAAGGGCCTCCTGGACTGGGTCCCTTGCTGCCTGCCACCAGCGCATCGCAGCCCTGCCAAGCGCTTGCTTTGTGTGTGACCTTGGGCGAGAGGCTTTGCCTCTCTAAGGAGCACCTCTGTTTCCCCATGGGGGAGGGAGCACGATGACCACGCTCCCTGTCTTGAATGCCTGATGCGTGGGACGAGCTGAGTGAGCGCCTGGCACCGAGCAGATGCTCAGTAAACAGCAGCGAGGAGGGAGCGAGCGGCGCTGCCTGAAGCTCACACTCTGCAACCCGACTCTCTGCTTTTCTACTCCCGGCTTGTCAGCCCTTTTGTGCCTCAGTTCCCTTCATGTTCAAACTGGGGCACTAATAGCGCCAACCCTACAGGGTTGTGAGGATCACACGACCTGCTGCGTGAGCAGTATCTGGCACGTAGGAAAACGCTAGATAAGGGTTGGCTGTTACCATCATTCATTCACTCGATAAATGTTTTTGGAGTACCTGTTGTGTGCCAGGACATGTTTTAAGAACTCAGGATCCAGCAGTAAACAAAAAAACAGTGGTTCTGACACTCAGGAAGGACAGATGAGGAGCACATTTGTAACGCGCGGGTGGTGATCAGAGCTGTAGCGAACAGTGACGTGGTGCAGGGGTGGAGGTGTGCGTGTTGGCCAGGACAGGCTGCTGTTGTGTGCAGGGCGCCCGGGAAAGGTCATGTCAATCAACAAGGAGGTGAGGGCGTGAGCCAGTGGCAATCTGGGGGAAGAGTGTCTGGGATGGGGAACGGCCCGTGCAAAGGCCCTGAGGCAGAACGTGCCTGGCATATTTGAGGAGAGCAATGTGGCTGGAACGGAGTTAGTGAGGGGGTGAAGGGGGCCTGATTATATAGGACTCCTTGCTTACCTGCCTAAAAATAATTACCTGCCTAAAAATAATTACCTGCCTAAAAATAATTAATTAATTTGGCTAATGAATCAGCTGGACTTTTATAACATTTGGACCCTCTCCCTGAGGATCTGAAGAAAGCTCTGGCCCTTCTCGCCAGAAAAATGCACCCCCAATTTCTCACACAGAGTTTGGAATGTCCCCAAAATAGCCCTTGCAGGTCGAGAAACCCATTTCCCCACTCCAGCTGTGTGTGCATGGCCTGACGCTCTCCTGTGCAGGTCCTGGACAAACACGGGGACATCTACGGGCGCGAGCGGATCGCAGAGCTGCTGGGCATGGACCTGGCCACGCTGGAGATCACGGCGCACAACGAGCGCAAGCCCAGTCCGCCACCCGGGCTGCTGACCTGGTGAGCCGGGAACGACCCCGGGCAGGCCTGGGGCAGGCAGGGGAGTGGCCAGGCTCTGACCCTCAGGCATCTCCTCCAACCCCTCCCCCCACACAGGCTCATGTCCATCGACGTCAAGTACCAGATCTGGAAGTTCGGGGTCATCTTCACAGACAACGTGAGGAGCGGAGGGACTCGGCAGGGGAGGGGTGTTAGGGGGTTGGGGACTCCACCCTCAGGGTCCCTGGCTAGGGAGTGACTCCTGAGCCCCTGCGTAGCTCTGATGCCCCAGGCTCCCTGTCCCCAGCACATCCTTTGACCCCTGAGTGCTCTTGGATTCCCAGGCGACTTCCTTCTGCAGAGTCCCCACCTGCCCAGGATGCCTGTAACCGAGAGTGCTCGTCACTCCAGTGCTCCCATCTTCCACGTGCTCCCTAATCAGAGGTGGCGCCCCACCCCCGGAGCATTCCCGGCCCCCCTGACTGCTGACCTCTGTGTCCGCAGTCTTTCCTGTACCTGGGCTGGTACATGGTGATGTCCCTCCTGGGGCACTACAACAACTTCTTCTTCGCTGCCCACCTCCTGGACATCGCCATGGGGGTCAAGACGCTGCGCACCATCCTGTCCTCCGTCACCCACAATGGGAAACAGGTGTGGAGAGGACCCGGCGCAGGGGTGTGGGCTGGGCAGGGACGAGCATGGCCGTGTGGGTAGGGGTGGAGGGGTCTGGGCCGGGCAGTGGGGGCCAGGGAGGGGCAAGGCCGGTCGGGCTGAGCCGGGGCAGTGGGGGCAGTGAGGCCCAGGGGCTGAGAGCCACACGGGCTGAGCGGGGTAAGGACCTGGAACGGGCGTGGGGGAGGGCAAACCGAGGGTGGCGCTGACCCATCCCGTGCCTGCCCCCAGCTGGTGATGACGGTGGGCCTCCTGGCGGTGGTGGTGTACCTATACACCGTGGTGGCCTTCAACTTCTTCCGCAAGTTCTACAACAAGAGCGAGGATGAGGACGAGCCTGACATGAAGTGCGACGACATGATGACGGTGAGTGCTCTGCGGCAAGTACTGACGCCGCGTTTTCCCGTCTGTAAAGAGGTCGATGACAGTACCCGCCTCGTGGGCTTGAGAGCCGACCCACGTGGCTACTTTGAACACTGCAGGCACATAAGTTGCTCCTTAAACGTTAGCCATCGTTTCCATATTATTTGAGGTTTTACGACAGAAAAGTGCTCAGGCAAAGTTCCCCTGCCATTTAGGAGCCACGTGACTTGGGGCAGGCTCCTCAGCCTCCTCCCTATGCCCTGAGGGCCTCACCTGAAAATGGGTGTGTAATAATAGCACCGACTTCTAAACAGTGCTCCCCGGCCAGTGCTCCCGGCCGCTCACACCTAAAAGACTTAGCATAGCACCGGGCGCATATAAAGGATTTTACATAGATGTTGGCTGCTAGCATTACTGTCCATGATTAAAAGTTTCATCCAAAGGACCAACATGCAATGCATGTTTATATTTTCTCTTTTATTCCAATAATGGCGATCATAACCCAAATTGATTTTAACTTGCTAGAGTCACGGGCCACAATTGAAAGAATTGTTTCAAGGGTTTATCTGAGAAGGTGTCTTGTGATTTGGCCCCCATGAGTCCCTGCTCTCAAGACAAAGTTCAGCTCCTCAGACATTCGAGGCCCCATCAGACACGGCCTTGCCGTCCACAGCCTCAGTCCCCTTACCCAAGACAACTGGATTCTGTCACATCCTGGGGACACAGAAAGAACAAGTGTAAAATTTTTCTCATGTGCCAGGTGGACGATGCTCCACCCCCACCCCCATCCCATACTTAGAACCTTCTTGTGGTTCCCCAGCACCCTGTAGATAAAATTAAATCACCCCACCATGGCTTACAAAGCCAGGGAGAAGCTGGCCCTGCCTGAGTCTAACCACAATCCCTCTTGCTTTTTGCTTTCTGGCTGCCTGGTTCTCTTTCAGTTCCCCTAAGGCCGTGTGTTTCCTCCTGACTCAAGCCCCTTGCACCTGACGTTCTCTCTGCCCCCAGCCCCAGGCCCAACCTGTACACACACCTCACCTTACCATTGATACCTCACCTTTCAATTTAAATGCTGCCTCCTACAGGAAGCCCTCCCTGACCACTGGCTGGGCTAGGGCCTACAGAGCCCTGTGACCAGGTCCGGCCTCGTCTCTTTCCCTGCTCTCACTCACAGGAGCTATTTTCCAGCCCCACTAAACCTCTTTCAGTTCCTCACAGGAGCAAGATTTCTTCTACCCCCCTGATGGTGATGTAGCTTGTGGTTTTCTCTGCCTGGAACATTCTCCCACCACCACTTCACCTGACACCACCTCTAAGTTCCAGCTCACACGTGTCTCCTCCTCCAGGAAGCCTGGCCTGATGGCTGAGGCTGGGTCACAGGCCTCCACTGGGCTCCCAAAGCTTTCTGTGCTTCTCCCAGCTCATCCTCCATCTCACAGTGACCCCCCAAAACCCCAACCCCTCTGCCCTGCCCCCCAAGCCCCCGACCCCTCTACCATGCCCCCTATCCTGCCTGGCCCCTCTGCCTGTGCTCTCCCTGTCACAGCCCTGACCATTTCTGGGCTGTCACTGTCTGATGTGAACCCTGTGACCTCAGCAGAGGTCAACCACGATCAGTTGTTATGTCTCCAGTCCTGCCTCGCCCAGGGCCCCTGCTGGTCCTCAGCGGGTGTTGAATGATTGCGTGAGTGACCAGTATGCTCCCCCCTCCTCAGTGTTACCTGTTTCACATGTACGTGGGCGTCCGGGCTGGCGGAGGCATCGGGGACGAGATCGAGGACCCAGCAGGCGATGAATACGAGCTTTACCGGGTGGTCTTCGACATCACTTTCTTCTTCTTTGTCATCGTCATCCTCCTGGCCATCATCCAGGGTCAGCGCTGGCCGGGGTCTTGGGAGAGGGTCCTCAGTGCCCAGAGGCAGGCTAGCTCCGTGGCTGAGTGCAGGCCCGGGATCCAGTCTGCCTGGATTCGGATTCCAGCTCTGCCTCTTCGTACTGTGAGACCTTGGGCAGGTCACCCCATGGGCCTTAGTTTCTCCATCTGCAAAACGAGGGTGTTCATGATACCAACCTCATAGGGTTGTGATGAGCACCAAGTCGATTAAACGTGCTAAGTGTCTGGGTCAAGTAAGTGCTCAGTAAATGCCTAGTATTATTCTTCTTGGGAAGCAGGGTAAGATTAGGGAGATGGGGGCTGGAAGGCAAGGCCCAGAGGTAGGTATCCAGGGAGGGAGGAGTCTGAGCTGGGCCGGGCACTGATCTCCATCCTGCCGCCCCAGGTCTGATCATCGACGCTTTCGGTGAGCTCAGAGACCAACAAGAGCAAGTGAAGGAGGATATGGAGGTAGGTCCTGTCTGGGGGTACCCAGAGGGATTATGGGGTCCTGGGGGTCAAATGGGCATCGCCTTCGATGTCTCTCACCATTCACAGACCAAGTGTTTCATCTGCGGAATCGGAAGCGACTACTTCGATACGACACCGCACGGGTTTGAGACTCACACTCTGGAAGAGCACAATCTGGCCAATTACATGTGAGCGCGGGCCTGCAGGCCAATCAGGAACGTGGGGGCGTGGCCGCCACCAGCCAGGGGCGGGGCACTGGACCTGGGCCAGGAAGGGGGTGTGTCATCCATGTGGGTAGATTCCCAGCCAGCCAATCAGAAGGAAGGGGTGGTTCTGACCTGTCTCCTGCGGCCTTTCCACTCTTAGGTTTTTCCTGATGTATTTGATCAACAAGGACGAGACGGAACACACGGGTCAGGTGAGGGGGTGTTAATGGGAGGACAGTGGGCAGAGACATGGAGAGCTTTAATATGAGGCCAGTCAGCAGGTAGCAGTAAAAAACTTTTTCAATACCAAGCATTTGAAGATGTGACCAATCCCTATCCCCCAATCCTAGGAGTCTTATGTCTGGAAGATGTACCAAGAGAGATGTTGGGATTTCTTCCCGGCTGGCGATTGTTTCCGCAAGCAGTATGAGGACCAGCTTAGCTGAGACAGCCCCAGCCGGCCCTCCACCCCCACCTCAAGTGCCTTATTCTCACAAGCAAGCCCCTTAGGCCCCCAAGCCCCTCCCCCCAAGGCAGCTGGGGGAGAAGTGACCTTGTACTGGAGAAATAAAGTCTGTGCTACACCCCTGGCATCATTGTATCTGGTTGCTGAGATTTTGGAGTTGGCATCCAGAAATTCTGCTTCCCCCCAGAAAAACGAGATGACAACAGAGGCTAAAGTCATGTTTATTGAGAGACGAGGATATGTCACGACCACCAGTGCGTCTGTTGAGGAGGGGGGTGTAGGGACTAGTTCCTAACACCCGCCTAGGGGCTCATTCCTGGATGTAGAGGTTGCTCGGGGCAGTAGGATCGTCCGCTGGGCGCGTCTCCACTACTACAGGCCTGGGGAAGGAAGGGAGAGTTCAGTTCATTCATTCATTCATTTGCTTGTTCCTTCACTCATTCATTCATTCAGAAAGTAGTTAATAGAGACTGTGCCAGCCCAATGCTGGGCACAACAGTGAACAAGCAGACTAGTCCTTGCCCTTGGGGAGCTCACAGTCTAGAGAGGGAGACCAACACGAATCAGTGAATTACTTGAGTGCAAAGAAGAATGGGGTGCGTGACAGGGAAACCTAATCCAGGAGGTCCGCCAAGGCACACCCAAGGAATAGATGGTGGAGCCTGAAGGAGACTCAGGAAGGTACTGGTGAAAGGGCAGGGAACAGTGTTCCTGGCAGAGAGAACAGCCTGTGCAAAGGCTTTGAGGTAAGAGAGAGGCTGGGGCTTGGTCAGAGATGTCATGGCCTTGGGGGTTGTGGCCAGGATTAAATATTTATCTTGAGGCCATAGGAGGATTTTAAGCAGGGAGAGAGTAACACCATCAGATTTGGATTTTACAAAGACCCCTCTGGCATGTCAAGAGGGCACAGGGACTCCTTAAAGAGGCTCCCACTGGCTAAATCCG